GTCCGGCCCGCTGACCACTGAGCCACCACGGTTCCAATGAACAAGATACACTTCATGGATAAACTGAACATGATATGTGAATAATAAGAGCAAATGGAAGCTTTATTGTCTACATATATAATTGAACACAATATTGTATTACCATACATCATGTATAGTGTTACTGGCAGTAAAATAATATATTTCATATAACTAAAGAAACTCTGCATACATGGCCATTTACCACGCGACTTGACTTCAAAAACATCTAGGGTCATTCAAACTCTAAACCAGTCATGTTAGATATGCGTTCATAACTATAAAATCCATCACATTTACTTTTTGCGTGACCATTTATATATGACTTGTCATATTATATACATGTACCCCTTTGTATGTACTTATATTATTTTTATGCGAATACTAGACACTCTACATACCTTTCATTCTGAGAGTTGTATACAAATAAATAATGTATGTATCTGCGAAGTTTAAACATGTACGTTGATATGATATAATACTTGTACCTTTAATGGCAGTTTTAACTATTGATTTCTCAGTAAACTTTTAAAGGTCCGTTGTGTGTACCTATAATTTCACTCGCTGAACAAATATTACGTTGGCACCAAAGTCTCGTAAGGCCAATAATGCTATACAAGTCGTATGAGTATAATTTCAAACGACTTTATACCAACAAAAGCAGGCGGCTGTGAGTTGGTGGAGATGAACAAACCTGAGCAAATTAAACAAATTAGCACATTTAACTCATCATTTTTAATTCTGTACATCTGTCTTATTCAGATATACTTTTCAGAAAGTGTTATTAAAAGGGTGCAATATAACGACCCAAAATACTTATTTAGAGTGGAATGATTTGCTGTTTAATTGGGGTGTATTTTGAAGGTGGTCTAACCTGAAACAAGCTTCATTGGTCAACCTTTTTGTACATCTTGGGTTTGCTCGTGTGACATTATTGTACCAACATAATGATCTTGGCGTTTCAAACTCAACGGGATTTTATTTCTTTTTAAGGCAATAGATGTGTTGATTTACAACGTCTTTGATAAGCTCTGAATAAATCCGTAAATTTACATCCCTTTCAACACATATATACAAGAGTTTCTCCTTTTTCTTTGTTCGGTTTGTTTTAAAACTTTACATTGTAAAAAGTGGATGCAGACAAAGCAATTTTGATAAAATGGACTGTTCTACCAACCAAAAATGAACAACTAGCAGTTTGCTTGGTTGTTACAACGGCAGCTTCAGTTTGGCTTGAAACAATAAATATGATAACAGTGTTTGGGACCTGTTGCGACAATCAGGTTAGAAATTATCAATTCATGAGTAAGATGTACAAGTTCGTACATTTTTCATATCACTGATTATATTGATTTTTTTAAATCTGGTGGGGGTGGTACAAACAAACGGGATAGTAATCAAAAACGATAAATAAAACTTGGGATTGGTTTTGATTTTGTGGGTTGGACACAGTTTTACACATGATTCAAGTAACTTACATGCAGCGTATCATGTATTAGAATGTTGTGTATACTCAGCTACTAGACATTTAAAAATTGCAAGTGTATGTGGAGCGGGTAGACTTAGACTTCTGTGGAGACGAAATGAGGTTGCTAAACAGTATATATTATTGAAACTGATAAGACCGATACCTGCCATCTGGGTTGATGGTTGAATTGCACGTTTGGTTTTAACACCGGTAGTTGTGCATGCCTAAACGCTCTCATTTACATTCCAAAATAGTTGTCGTCTGATACATCGTTTTACCTGTGTGGACCTGTCCTATGGCATCCATTTGCTTTAACTTCATGGAGTTAACTAGCTGTTCTACATCATAATTTCACTGTTAACCTTTATACACGGTATTTTGTAATTGTAAATAGAAATTAATATTTTGTTAAAGTATTTTATATACATCTACCGTTTAACATATACGCGGCAATTACGACAGACGTAGATCTTAAATTATAATTGTACGTTTTTTACATGCTTACCGAAGACCGTCGGTTGATCTTGGGGTGGAGGGTGTAGAATCCGAGTCTTTTACGTTTGGCAATTTCCCATTAGAAACTTTTCCATTGGAAACCGTTCCATTGACCGTAGTACCGTTGACTTGATGTTGTAGAGGTTTCATCATGAGAATTTCTTGCCCATCTGCCATAGTGTTCAAAGAGTCGTCTGTTAAATGTCAAATATCGCCAGGAGTACTGCGTGGGTAGAAAGGGTTGGTCACACAATGTTACTCCCTGAATTAGAAGCTCCCATTGATGAAATATTAATAATATTCAGTAAGTGCGGTGCAGAACTAAGTTCCTGTGCCCACTGTGGTTATGAGAATGTCTCGATCAACCGAGCATAGATCGCCCTTTACAAAGCAAAACATTCAGAATAATCTACATGGCCTGGCATGCGTGTCGATGATACATTTGGTGTGGGGCGCCATACGGTGACATATGTACAAGTACTGTGTTGATATACTCCAATTTATCGTATGTACATCCTTGCTAAAATAACTTTCTTAATACTAAATTTGCATCTGATGTACACACACGCACACACACACGCACGCACACACAATGGGTCGGTTTTGAAACGTTGCTCACTGATTTCAGGTTATTATATATAATATTTTGCATTTTTTTTTTGTATATATGGATGACAGTCAATTCTAAACTGGGATAAACAGTACCATTCAAGAGGCCACCTATTACTTGCATTTTGCCCACCTCTACTCGCATTATTTTCTTAGTATCAGTTAATTTTATTTATAATTTGAATTCAAAATTACAACCTAAAGAATCGAATTCTCCAAATGCTGTTTCAGTCAACGTGGTGATGAGGGTTGTTTTTCTTTTACATAGGAAACCCTTTTAGATAACTTGAGACGATTTGCAGTGAAGCATGCTTTAATAGTCTTTTATATATCTGTTTATCACGATAAAATAATAGTTTTCGGATGGGGATGGGGGATGAATGAATTAAAAGACTGAAATATATAAGGGTAACATTTTGAGTGATTCCGTTGAGATAGGATGTTTCTGGTTCAAAATTTTTCTTTGCAATGGGCGAGACAGATATTTCGTTGTCAAATATGATAATACTCTTGTCAAATCCCGGTAGAATAGGCGTAATTGTTGAACTTCTTAGGTATCAGAGACACGCCACGTCATGCTGGTCAAAGATATTTTAAAGTCTTGATTGAGCTTGGACCGTTTTCATGATTTTATCATTAAATAAACTAGTATGTATGTATGTATGTATGTATGTATGTATGTATGTATGTATGTATGTATGTATGTATGTATGTATGTATGTATGTGTGTGTGTGTGTGTGTGTGTGTGTGTGTGTGTGTGTGTGTATGTATGTATGTATGTATGTATGTATGTATGTATGTATGTATGTATGTATGTATGTATGTATGTATGTATGTATGTTGTTGTTTTAGGTTTTAACGTCATTTTTCAGCACAAGATTATCTATACATGGCAGCCAGTATTAATGGTGGAGGAAGAACCCTGGAAAACCCCGGGAAGAACCACCACCAACCCACGAGAAGCTACTGGCAGGCTTTCTCACTTACCCACGTTAGCTGAGTCTGTGTATGTGTGTGTGCGTGCGTTCGTGCGTGCCTGCGTGCAAGCATGCATGTATGTATGTATGTATGTATGTATGTATGTATGTATGTATGTATGTATGTATGTATGTATGTATGTATGTATGTATGTATGTATGTATGTATGTATGTGCGTGCGTTCGTGCCTGCCTGCCTGGATGGATGGATGGATGGATGGATGGATGGATGGATGGATGGATGGATGGATGGATGGATGGATGGATGGACACATTGCGATTCAGCCTTTAGACTGTTTGAAACTGTACAGAACTGATATGTGACGTGGAAATACACATTTCTGTTGTGATCATAAAGCAATCAGACATATTTTCTGACGAAATGGATTAAACTAAAGCTACTACGAAGAGACGACATGACAGGTCTCTTCGTATTTTATTACTTTATCCCCGGTATCTCGGGAAGGCATCTAAGGGCCGCAACGCAAAATGCTTTACATGTTACTGCAAGTTGTTTATTATGACCTATATCTGTCTCCCAAGGTTCAGGAAGGGACAAAGAAAATGTACCACTCTTGAAGATGACTGGCTAAAACACAAGCAACCTTTTACCAAATTTAGCGAATTCACACCTCCAGCCCCGCTACCTCACCGCCCTGCGACAATTATGTCTACTGGTTAGACGAGCCGAAATTAGCAATACATCTATGTTGTACATATTCATCTGAAATGGACTCTTTCTTTTGGTTATGTTCAGTTTTATTTTGAGTTGATATATTTATTTAAATCATTCATTAGAACTTCACATTGTTCTCAATAGTTTCGGACTAAATCACTTTTTGGGGGATAATTATGAATTCATTTGGAGACAGTTTTGGATTATATCAATGTGATGCAGCAAGACTGTTAGCACATTAACACTATTCCACGCTAGTGGTATATCAGCACATTCAATATTAAAATTTATTCAAAATAGGCTATAGTTCTGGACTTTTGATATATCTTTAGGACTCTCTGGGATATAATTCGCAATCCTGAAAGTTCTTTTAACAATTTTCAAATTGCATGCTATGGAAATAAAGTATCTGTTTAATTTTGCTAAATTTCTTAGTTCTCGCTCTTTGATGTTACTTAGTTTAAGACCACAGGGTCGTAACAATACACATATCAACATACATGGTTACAAACGTACTTAGTAGTGTTCGAACTTGCGTACATAATACACAGCTACACGTGTACATGCATACAAAATTACAGACGTTCTAACGTACATACATAAGCCAACGGTTAGACGCATGGCTGGATGGAAGTTAGAGACCCGGGCATGTCATGTTTATCATTATTATCATCAATATCTGTAGAATTGTGAATGGTTTGATTTCCAAAATTTGTGATTTACCTTACAATGGCTATTTTACAAATACGATAGACCGCTTCGGTGGCCTAGTGCTTAGAGCGTCCGCCTAGGATGCGGTAGGTCGTGGGTTTGATCCCCGGCTGAATCTTACCAAAGACTTACAAAAATGGTATTAACAGCTGCCTCGCTTGGCGATCAGCATTAAGAGGTTAGTGTTAGGACTGGTTGGCCTGGTGTCAGGATAATGTGACTGGGTGGGATATCATGCTACATGTCTGCGGCATGATGCTCCAGTGCTAGACATGACTATAAACTGTCACACTGCATACATGATACGACTAAAAAATTACAACTGGTAGGCCTGGTGTCAGGATAATGTGACTGGGTGGGACATCATGCTACATGTCTACGGCATGATGCCCCAGTGCTAGACATCACTATAAACTGCCATACTGCAGACATCATAGTCATATGACTGAAAAGGTGTTAAAGCTATGTTAAAAATCCAAATCGCAATCGCAAATATTTTGGTTTCTTATCTTTAGTGGATACAATGATCAGAAATGGTCCAAATAATCCTCGGCATCATGCTTACCTACCTACCTAAATATAAATATACTTAGACACACCTGTAAATAGGTTGTCACCTTTCGTGGGTTTTTTTTTATTGATTTCCTGTGAGATTTCGCAAACCAATTAAATGTAATGTAGCTTTTTCATTATATCAAATACATGAAAAAATTCCACTTAGATATATTGAGATAGGCAATGACCGTCCGTCCGTCCTGTTACTGTTTTCATTGTAAACTAATTTACATCTACATTTGATTCAGGGAGAGAGATCACATTTGACAGGCTGTGTAAATGATAAGGAATCCTGCCTACACTTCACAATTCTAGGGACCATCCAACCACAGTACATTGAAAACAAACACTTTTTATTATTCAGTGCAGTCTTAGTGATACATTAACAATGTAGAACGGAAAGTACATGCCTTAATTTGATGTTCATAGATCAAATTACACGCAGAATATACAACTGTTATAAGTTTTGACGGCGGTTGCAAAATGAAAGCATGATACTTTATGCATGCCTGAGTCTCTAACCAGACCGCCATACCTATAAAAAAAATCACTGTAAAAATTTACCACTCCCTTCGTTTGTTTGGCGTAGTCTAAGTGCTCCTTTACCCGCATAATCTAGCTGTGTACATTACGTATAATCTAGCTGTGTACATTAAGTACACCTGCAACAAACAGACCAACCTTTACTGAAATAATCACGACGAACCAATCTTGGTACACTCTTTTCTCAATCATTCAATGCCTGGTGCTTTGTGTTTGTGTCGTCGCTGTCAAACCAATAGCTTTCTGTTCATCGTGTGACAAAAGCACATTGTCTCTGAAATTCGTATATTTGGTTATGTAGAAAGGTGATTTACAAGTTAATACCTTCCTTTACCCACTTATCCGGATCGCGTCAGTCCCGAGGCAACAAAAGATCCGTAAGGTCGGAAAACTTACTAACAATTGTAATGATTCAATCAGACAGAAATTGTGCTTCAGACAGACTGAAATTTTAGAAGACTTGTCAGTGTCCAAAGGTCACGATGCATCTGTAGTTACTGTTTGCAATCCGGTCTTTTTGTCTCCTCCCCCCCGCCAGTTTAATTTTATAATTCCAAGATTCGCGTAACAGTCGTGAAACGAAATTAAAACTTTATAAACTTGCAATTGAATCGGGTCAAATAGTAATCCCCACCCTTGCAATTATTATATATGCAAATTACTAACATAGATTTTATTATATATTTCAGTAATGAAATGAGATTTGACTACATATATAAACCGCTGCAATGGCCTAGTGTTTAGAGCGTCCTCCTCGGATGAGGGAGGTCGTGGGTTTGATCCCCAGCCAAGTCATATCGAAAAGACTTACAAAAATGGTACTAACAGTTGCCTCGCTTGGTGATCATCATTAAAGGCTTAGTGTTGGGACCGGTCGTCCTGGTGTGAGGATATTGTGACTGGGTGGGACATCATGATATATATATCTGCAGCTTCATTACCCAATGCTAGACATAATTATAATCTACCACAATACTGACATCGTAGCGATGAGACTGAAAAAAAAAAAAATATATATATATATATATATATATATATATATATATATATATATACATATATATATATATATATATATATATATATATATATATATATATATATATATATATATATATATATATATATATATATATAACTGCAATAAGAAAATAACATGTAAAAGAAAATGCAAGCACCTTGGAAGAACTGGAATTATTTAGATCTGAATGTAGCTACGATGTCGTAGCCTCAACTTGTTTTGTTGTGGTTGAGGCTACGAACTGATCCCATATCATGTAATGGAGCAAAAAAGATCCTTACTTAAGTCAGAAACACAAATGGTTTAGAAATCTACTAAATAAGTTCAATCATTTTGTCAAAGAAGTTGGGGGGGGGTAATTTATTAAGCCCATACACTGCAAAATAATTTGGCGTAGTTATACTAACCTCACCGTGTCCACCATGACAGATAACGCGAGACTCTAGCTGTGACCCCTTTTCAGTACGGGTGTTCACCTATAAGCGGATAAGTCTCCAAGCTGTTATTTCACAAGAACATTATATATATATATATATATATATATATATATATATATATATATATATATATATATATATATATATATATATATATATATATATATATCCTCATAGTATCACATTCTCCACTTGGATGCATAGTCATGGATGTGATGTGCTTATGATTTTTAACAAAGCTTTAACAATTTTTCAATTTTTCAGTCATATAGCTACGATATCTGCAGTGTAGCAGTTTATAGTGATGTCTAGCACTGGGGTATCATACCGTAGACATGTAGCATGATGTCCCACCCAGTCACATTATCCTGACACCAGGCCGACCAGTTGTAACACTAACTCCTTAGTCATGGAAGTTGCGAAGCAAAATACATGTGCCATTAAATGATGGGGATAGCCGGGTTGTGTCATCAGATATTAGAACCAATGGGATGCTTAACGTACCAGCTTGTACTCCACATTTTGCTGACTCCTTTAAAAATATTAGGACAATATTAAAAGTAGCCATGTTGATAGCGTTCTTTCTTCCTTTTCCCATCAACTGAGCATGGTTTCAATGTCAACTTTGATTTTATATATATATATATATATATATATATATATATATATATATATATATATATATATATATATATATATATATATATATATATAACAATAGTCCTAACATCTCTGGAAGAATTAGGATTTAATCCCAACAGTTTCCTTTCCTTTAATTCCTAGATGAAATAACTTTCACAGAAAAGGCCATTATTCTATATCGTGTCAAAGACTTTCGTGTTAATGTAACATATACTTTACAATGTTGGACTGCAATCTCTTTTATCATAATGACTGCAGTAATGCCACTACACTGGTTACCTATAATATATAACCATATGGGTAACACTAAGATGCATTCCTAGTAGCATAATTTGGTGCAACTCACAACACATTATGTACTAGCATCGTTCTTTCCCATGACTCATCATACGGGTACTTTTAGGACTCCATTTTTTCCCATGATGACTTGTATTCCAACAGAAAGTCAGCTCCTACTTTCTCCGATGTGTAATCGAGCTCCTGATAACGGATTCATTTGTTGTTCGGTTAATGCAGCCATACTTTGATGCAGTGGAAGCAGATACATTTGCATGTTTGGTTTAAATTCTGGTAAATATAATCAACTTCAAGTACTTTACTAGTGCTTGACAATTTCCTAACTAATATTGGCGAATATACAAAGCATATAATGTGAAAGAGCCGGTTGTAAATTAGAAGGATGGAACGCATGGCGTAATCACTTACATTATTTGCACACCCTTCTGTTTGTACCCACTACCGAGTATAAAAACGAAAAGCATTAATATTATTTTTAAAAATACAAAAACGATGCGATTATACACACGACACAAAATTGAACTAATCTACTGATAAACAAAGATGGCATTTTCTGTATATATTGTACCATGATCTCGTGATTTATTTTTCTTCAGTTCTCTCAACAGCCTCTTTAGTGTCACTTTGCATTATGATACAACTGAATTTGCAGTCTGTTCCTTCTTCAATGTTCGAATCCACAATATTCTTCACCGTGTTCCTAATTTCATCCGCAATCGATTCATTGAAAAACATTAGTTGTTTCAGTCTCTAGTGTTTCAAAATACTGACACCATATATCACAAATCAAATGTCTCCTTCTACTTTAAGGTCATCAATATCTTGTTTATGTCATCTCTTCTGCAGTCTAACTATTTCTACCAAACGTCCCTGCATCCAATTATGCAGATTTTCTAATTCCTCGAACTGTTCCTGTTCATATTATTCTTTCTCCTTGTTTAATTGGTTTCTGAACTTTCTCTTCGCACTTTTGTATTCTGCATAGGACTTATATTTTATACCACGGGGACGTTCCACTTTCATGTATAAAGCACTATTTCTTCTCATCTCTTTATGCCTGTCAGCCACACTAAGGCCTTGAGGTTTTCTTTGGGAGATTTTATTATCTGAATTGCATAATACTGTCGCAAAAGTATGAAGGGCATATTACATATATGCAATGTCGCGTATGTGTAGTTTTACTAATATAATTGTTCCTTGATTTAAATTTTGTACTTCTCCAGTTGCTCTGAAGAAACTTTTGTCTAGTTGATTGTAACTGGATAGTTAAAAAAAAGTAAATTCCTGTGCAATGAAACAACATTTTCAGTTGGTCTCAACTGGATAGAATTAGTTTCCTGTTGATTCAACTTAATTTTGCTTTTCTGCTCGTGATGGATTGGATTTTGTTTTAAACTAAGTCATTGCCATATGATGTACATGTGATTTGAGCAGTGTACTGGCATTGAATCAACGGCACCTCTTTTCTTTCACTGATTATTTGAAATCGTAATGTGCAAAACATTATTTTTTTAAATGAATTTATTTAAAGGCGCTGTGGAATATGACATTCATTTGGTTTTTAGTGCAGAAAGGAGAATGTGATTTACGTTTGAAATGTAGTCGAAATTACAGTACAAATTTTGGAAATCTAGACATGGACCATGTAATTCGGATTTGCAGAACTAAGAATGTACATGTCAAGAAAATTCAAGATGCAAACATGAAAGTATTTTATTGTCATTCTTATCAACAGCTAAAGAAGACAAGTAATTATATCCTGTTACTTGCATGCTCTCTGTTGGAGGAGACCCAGCTATGAACATGACCTGATGGCTTTTATCGCTAGCCTACATCCAAAAAATTTTTATCAATAAACTTAAACGGGGACATGTGTAAACAGCTTCTGTGTGACAGCTAGCTGTAAAAAGACTTCTTCGTATTGGCTTCTTGTCTCCGAGGCTCTTAACTGTCTGTTAAAACCTGCAGTTGTATTTTTTCTCAAATTTAGCGGTTTGACTGGCTTGTAAAATGGTACGTCACTCAAAGATATACAATGGCCCTTGGCCTTAGTATGATTTTCTATGCTGTTTTGTAGACACTAGAGATCACTGGTCATAGTCTGATCGATCCATTCTATTTGCGAAAAGTTATGAATATTTCCACTAAATACCTGTTTAAAAGGCAAGAATGGTATTGTCAATACTGCATTTTTCATGTTTGTTGTGGACATTGTGTATATTACGTTCATTCATCTTTTTGTTTAAAAGTTTAACTTGTGACTCAATGAACTTGTCCACATCGTTAACTTTATCATCTCTGCTTTAAAATTGACGAAAGGGCTTGTTGATTTTAATCACAACCAAAACTAATGAACAAAGAGCTAAAGTATATACTACATATGCATATACAGTTTGTTTACAAGGTAGTTCTTAATACAGGGTACTATTGTAAGACACACCATTCCCACTATGTAAAGGGAACGGGAAAATATGAACAGATAATAATTATAGGTTACTATATTTGTATGGGAAAATGCGAACGATTGTTTCGGTCCAATACTCCAAGAACTTGTGAGTGAAGTATTACTCCTGCGAAAGGAGTTCAATATTTTCCCACATAAATGCAAAAACCTTTTCATTATATTCTAATTTTATTTATCTCCCTAAGGCTACATAATAAGTAACAATATGAATGCGAACTTACGACCGCCCAGTGACCTTTGAACTTCGTCGCGCTCTCGTAATAGATTTCAAAATAATATATATTATATGCTTTTGGGTTAAGCTAGGTATTGAGAAACCAAAGTTTTGTGTCAGTTAAATGGTTAAAATATGCGGTAGAACAAAGACTAAAACATAAATATATACAAACCTGGAAAGCTAACATCAATACGTAAAGTAAAAGTCATAATTAGAGGTTATTTAAAATTAGTTTGGATTTTAAAAATATATATTTCTCATTACTAAAATATAAATCTAAACACTTAATTAAGTTTAGAATTGCAAACCATAGGATTCCCGTTGAAATAAGTAGATGGATTATTCTTCCTTGTAACAAAAGATATTGCACATCCTGTCAGTCTCAAGAAATATGACATGAATATCATTCTTGCTTGTTCTTATTTTCATGATGAAAAGGAAAAATGTAGTCCTCATTTTTACACTTTCAGGACTAACATTGAAACCAATAAATAACGTTTATAACTATAAATGATGAATAGGGGTAATGTATGATTGTTTAAAATATGTGCAGGTATTTGTACTGTGCTTTCCGAATCATTTAATCCCTGTTAAGCAGTATGTAAGAATATCGCACTATATCTTTTTCTTACATACGTACGTTGTAAACTTTACAACCTGAGTGCAATTAAGTCTTGCCTGGTCTGCGGCCTCAAGGATACAATTAACTCAGTCAACCACAAA